TTTTTCATGCGGGTCGTTACCGAGCTCATATGTTGGCAGGCCAACCCGACCCGGACCACCGGGATTGACACCTCTACTTTAGTTGCAAGTACTAGTTTATTTTTCTTGCCCACCTCTATGAAAGGAGCATCATCCTCATTTAGTACCAGTTGGGCACCTGGTTTTGTATTGGCTTGGCTAATGGATTCTGCATGTCCAAATTGACTAACATTCTAGTCAATCAGATATGTTGTTGTTATAGTCATTTCTAACATATAATTTTGTTCGATTGCTGCCTTGCTTGAATTACCATCAATGTTATGACCGTCATTAGCCGACTGACCTGAACCCCCAGGATTTGTCGCTATTTTAGTCGTTTCCAACACACAGTTCTGTTCAATTGCTGCCATGCTTGAGTGTCATTAGCTAACTGGCCTGAACCCCCACCAATGTCCTGGTCATGTATATCATTATGTATTCCCATTTTCTTTGCCACATATTTATGGCTAGTAGGCACAGATTTTCCTTTGCATGCATCTTTTTTGTGCCCAAAACTCTTGCAAGTGGAATAGAATTTTAGCTCATGCTCAAAAGATCTGGTTCGCTCGATTAAGAACCTCAACAAGAATTCGTGCAAATGATAGTCATCCCTTTGTTATCATGAGCAAATCAATCATCATCGATTTACTAATCTTTGTTTGAATCATACTGAATGCGTTGGGCGTCTAAAAATTCAATGGCAACCCCGATAATGTTATCCAAATCGACAGAGAGCTAATATCACCATCATCACACTCAAAAAATGATGGTACATTTTTCAACATCAATGGTCTACCACATACAAAATATGGACCTCCTTCAAGAACTTGAGTTTTATCGTCGAAATTCACGAATTTGAACACGAGCCATCCACTTTGATGTACAAAGTATTGGTACTTGACTCTCCATTGATCACACATTTGCAAAATGGTTGTTTTACCCGGGAACGGTCTAGCAAAGTTCCCACCAAACAGTAGCCACATGCTGTTTGATAGTCATCAATGTCATCTTCACCGAAAACCAATATTTTTGGTAGGTTTTCGCAGGTTTTGAGCTTGAATCCATTTTCGCGCTTACGATTTTCCTTAAATAAACTGGCCCAGAGCTTTGATTGCATCAGATTTGTTTTCTTGAACAATAGTATTGCCCCGATGTACTGCATTACATCCTTCCTCCAATGTTGTATCCTCATCGCC